GTGCCTTTCCCCGCACGTGCTCGAAGCGAGTCTCCAAACCTCTAAGAAATACTTAAACGTTCGTAGAAACTTCATAACGTCGCCGTCTCTTTTACTTTGTACCCTGCCGCTCTACACTGGCTTTAATTAATTTACCACCGAAATAATTTTGGCTTCTCCCACCCGTATCCACGGGATGCCAGGTTCGTCATAACCGTGCGGTGGGAAGGAGCTTGTGCGGCTTGTCAATAGATTCGGTGTGTCGCGCTCCTGTACGCCATGCGCCATTTAGTTGCTGTGCCTGGAGTATGAAACTCGGAGCGTCAGAGTAGGGGTAAAGGAGTGTGGACTTAAAGGGGAGCTGCAATCATACTTAAGCGTCTACCTCTTTTGCGGTTTCCACGTCTCTTTGGGTTCGGGTAAGCCAGCGGGCACGGAGAGAAGAACTAAATATCAGTGAGTCATATTTTAACCGGACGACGCGGAAACCTCCTCCACCTACGAGGGCGACCCGCGTTGCCGAAAGCGCGGAATATGTGACGTCTTTGGTCCTGGGCTTACTACTGGTCAGAGCTGCTAAAAGCTTTTTTTTTAGTCGATACAAAATATAAGTGTCGCGAACCGTTTCAATTATGTATGAAAGTAGTTTTTGTTCAGTATTTTAGATCAGAAAAGAAACAAATGCAGTTTATAAAGTACGGAAACAAGAAAAGACCCGTCGACAAACCCGCCACCAAGCGGTGAAAAAAACGGCGCATACAGTAAAACCTCGTTATAACAAAGTTGAAGGAGCGGTCGTAATTATTTCGTTATAACCATTAGTTTGTTATAGCCAATGTCCATTTCTTCCCACTATTAGCAAGCAAGGGGAATTATGATTGCTTTGTTATATCCCGTTTTGTTATAACGAGGTTTTACTGTACTAGAAAGGCGTAGTGGGATGAGGCTCCGACGAACAATGGGCTTAGAAAGGTCCCGGATGTACGCGGTGGCGCTGCGGTCGTATACTGGCTCGAGGATCCGACCGGTTCCGAGCGTTCCCAAGGCTTTCGGCGCGGGCTTGGCTGGCGATTTGACCCTTTGGCGGTATGACAGCGCGAAGTGGCTCCCGTTCTGAACTGATCTTTACCCCGTGTTTACCGTCGTTTGTGGCCAATGAAGTGTTATGCCGAATTAGTCTTTAATCGCGCGGCAAATGCAATGCGAGCTGCCCTGGCCACCCACTTCATACAGCCTAGTCAACACGTGCTTTAGTGGCACCCTCTCGAGCCGTCGACACTGAGTGCGGCAGCCGTGAGCGCTCGATGAGCTCACTACTTCACGGCCACTCAAACCAGGACCTACGACGTCATGAAGGATGTTATTTTTTGCTTGTTTTTGTAAGTCTAATTTGCCTATAACTTTTAAAATAAAGCGAAATTGGAGAAAAGTTTCTTTAAATTACTACGTTGAGTGCGCTCAGGTTCGGTCCAAATTAAAAACCAGTCCAAAAGTTATTGCAGGGCCACTTTAACGCTCCCAATGACGACAAACGAGCAAAAAACATGTCTGCAGCACGCTGCCGGCCAGCCTCTGCAACGCTCCAAAAGGTTAATTTTCCGTGTCCCAAGATGGTCGTCCGGCAGCCGCGATCACGGAGCGGGGAAGCGCAATTTAGCAATTGTTGTAGAAATCAGTAAAAAAATATGGAATGCATACCCTCCTAGCATCCATCAGGTAGGGATAAGCATTCTTTGCAGTCTATATGCCCATCAATATCAACACATGTAGCCATTTGCAGGCAGTCGCATCCTTTCGAAGATCAATCTGGCCTTCGTCAGGCACCAGCTTTCGCTCTCAGCACACAGCCACTGTTGGTGGGCTTCGAGGCTGCTCGCATCTTCACCCTCCACAGGCGGGGCAGCCCCGGTCTGTAAATGTAGAATATGAATATGGCAGGTATTATTTGATAACACTTTATGTTTTGGCCGTGTAAAGAAAATCTGCATTCCATTTTCTAACATATCTGTTATGAAATAACAAGGTCAGGTGGAACGGCTCGAGTTCGCTGACTGAAAGACAGAGGGCTTAGCCTGAACCAATATCCTAGCAGCCTTCGATATTGGTGTGGGGGGAGAGAAGGCTGAACCTCTAAAGATGTCTTCAAATGATTCTCTAATTGCTTAACTCCAAAGTTTCAGGCTGCTGCACTTTAACGTTCTGAACTTTTTCCAACATATATTTGCGCTGTCGCTAACCATGTTCCATTTGCCAATTTTTTACACGCCCCTTCTCCTCCAATCAGAACAGCACGAGGGTCCGCCGTGAACAGACTTGGCATCATCGTGTGTCATATATCCCCGATGATTGCCTTCCCCACTAAGATGCATTAAAGCCAAGGCTCGAGCACAAGCTCATAGCATCGCTAGATGGTCGCACTGCACGAACCCTCGTGCAGCCTGAGTATCTACTAATACTGGTAAAAGCGAGCGAGTTGAAAATGAATACTTAAAATCGAAAGAATAAAGCGCGAGGGACAAGCCCAGGACAACCACGTAAAGCCTGGTTCAAACAGTTGCGTTTGACCGCGTTGCGGCTGCGAGAAACCAGGACATCCCTGCTGCTTATATCGCGTGCCAAGATGATTCTTTGAATTGGAATCCACGCTTCATATGAAGCACAGATGTGCCGGTGACTCGTTTTCGGTTCTAAACGCAACGCAGACAAACACACTCAAACGCAAGTGTCGGAACCGACCTTTACGGTACAGGCTCACAGTAAAGCTGTGAGCCCGAACCGTCTCGCACGTCTAGCCTTCGCTTTAGTACATCTCAGGATGAGACGGACTGTATCATAATAGAACCGATGTGGTCTCACCATTCTGAGCAGAAGTGCGTGAGTAACCGATGATATTTTCGTGGTCGCTTGCACGTAAACAACCAAGGAGCTTGTACACAACGCCGGCATTCATCTGGCTTGAAAACAACTTGAGCGTTGGCTTGGCTTGGATGTCAGCTGCCCATTGTGCTTACTTGAACTTCACGAAATCCTCTAAATTGAGCAGGCTGCTTCTTGACTTCTGCTGTCGGCGCTTATGTCTGCAATTCGGCGGTTTCCGAGTTCGACGATTCGGAAATCATGGGTGTACCACCGCAACACCCTCTTAACACGATTTCGGTAGCCGTAGGGTGTAAAAAGGATGTACGAAGGGTGTAGGCCTTTCCGTACACCCTTGAATATTCAAAAATCATGTAAAAATGGTGTAGGAAGGGTGTGAGCTCGGAAAAACACCCTTTTAACACGAACATGGGTGTTGAAATTTTTAGTGTGTACCCTGACCACTAAAGAAGCCACATTGCTTTAGTGACATTCTGTCCAAATAAATTCTCTCCCTCGGGGTTTGGTGACTGCAGTGGGCGAACTGAACTGAAATGGATGTGGGACCACTTTTCTGGTAATGAGCCGTTGCAGAGTGTCTTCGCAAAGCGGCGTGAACGAGTGGACTGTGTAGGTAACACGCGCAATGAAATGTCCATACGGCTTGCAATTTGCGTAACTAGTGATGATGAAACTTTTGTGTCGACGAAGCGTGCGACAGACCAGCGGAATCAATACCAACTGCAACACCTGTGCTCCGTGAAAGTGCACGTCTACTCCGGAACAATTTGGGAAGCAGCACAGCATCACCTAAAGCATGGCACAGGAACTACCAGCTTGAGGGCAGCTCCGCGGTGCGCCGCAAACCTGTGCTCCGTGAAAGTGCACGTCTACGCCGGAACAATTTTGGAAGTAGCACAGCATCATTTAGCACGGCACGGGAACTACCAGCTTCAAGGCAGCTCTCCGGTGCGCCTCACAACCAGTGAGCCTTCGGTCATTTGAACGAAGCAGCACCACGATTGCACACTGCCAAGCAGGACTCACGCAATTTCCGTCGCTAAACTGTGTATCCAAATATGTTGCACACGCTCACTGCAGACCTCGAAGATTCCGATGGTCAACGAGAGCACAGAAACGTCGCCTTAAATTTTATCCTAGCGGTATCCGAATCAATCCGAGGTCTGAGCAACGTAGGGCAGATGGTCTCTTCCGTGGCAATATCCCCGTCGGTCGCCAGCCAAATGCACACCGTTGTTCCTCCGTATTTTCACTCTATACCTACGTCAGACACCACGCGGAACTCTGAAGTCGCTTTCGACCGGCCTCATATGACGGCTTCTGCGTCTGAAATCAACACGCCGAGACGAACGACAACCAACAAAGCATCAGACAAGCTCCGGCACAGCTGGGGCCAGCCGCTGCATGGGCGCTGCCATCTTTCCTGTGACGTCACGTATTTGGTTTGGTCATGTGACGTGTGGTCAAATTTGCGTACAATGGCAGCCGCCTTAAGGGGTATCTACACGAAGGAGAACTCCGCGGACGGATGTCATGACGTCAACATCCCGGGAAACTCCGTCCCCGGCTCCGCCGCGAGAACTTGCGGAGCTTTCGTGCTGTCGGCACAAAGCCTCCGCGCCTCCGCCACGGAGGAGAACGTGCCGCGAGGCGTCAAAAAGGGATGACGTATGTCTCACGTGATGCGCGATCCGCGGAGGAAAGTGGCGGATTTCTCCTTCGTGTGGATACCCCTTAAGGGGTATCCACACGAAGGAGAACTCCGCGGACGGATGTCGTGACGTCAGCAACCCGGGAAACTCCGTCCCCGGCTCTGCCGCGCGCACTTGCGGAGTTCTCATGCTAAGAGTACGAAGCCTCCGCGCCTCCGCCACGGAGGAGAACGAGAGAACGGCGCCACGAGGCGTCAAAAAGGGGTGACGTATGTCTCACGTGATGCGCGCTCCGCGGAGGAAAGGAGCGGATTTCTCCTTCGTGTGGATACCCCTTTATGGTCGATTCACACGACGGACTGATCCGCGGACGGATTGGTCACGTGATGACAAATCCGCGGAGCCTCGAGCTCCCGAGAGCATCCACACGACGGATGAGACGAGCTGACGACAACTAGGAGAACTCTCGACCCCACAGGCCCGCCAGGCCCGCGAAACGCCAACAGCGCACTGTTGTCCAGAGTAATCGTCAAGATGGAGGTCGATCGAAAGCGTCGTTTGGCCGCGATGGCCGCAGCGTTATCTTGCGATGAAGATGAGTCGTGTGGGTCCAAGAGATCGCTTTGGATGAAAGACTGGATGTGCAGAAAGGAACGCGGTATGCAAAACCAACTTTACGAGGAGCTCCTCGACAGCGATCCCGAGGAGTACCGCAGGCTGCTGCGCGTCAGCCGCGAGCAATTCCTGCAGCTGCTGTCTCGCGTGGGACCCAGAATAGCGCGGCAGGACACTGTGATGCGGCGAGCAATTCCACCAGAGACACGGCTACAAGTCACTCTTCGTTATCTTGCAACGGGTAAGTAACTTCACTCCAGCCTTCGTTTGTTGTACAGCGCGTAATAAATTTCTGGAGGCTACGACCTCGGATCCGTTATCACCCCCAGATGTTTGTCTCTCTTGTCGGCGGGTTCCCGCCTAAGCCATCCCGGACCTCTCGCCTGGAAGAATGTAAGAGCTAGCTGTGCAGATAGCTGGAAGGGGCAGTGTTCGTCGAATGTTGTCAGGGGCTCGGGATGCATTCGAGGTAGCGATGGCCGAGTGTGTAGCACGGTTCATTTGTCTATCCACCTGGTAAAAAAGAGGGCCCAAATTGGTGTTTAATAAGAATTAAATTTATATATATCTATATATATATACACATCAACATGATCATCAAATATTCCGCAATATCCCTGCCCCAGAACCCAGTATAACTTTTCGCTATCTGGATTATGGAACAACTTATCTTATTGGCTTCTATCTGGATATCAAGTTTCCAATACATTTCCAGTTGCATTTCTTTTTCCATAATCCAAATAGCGAAAGGTATCTTGGGTGTTCGGATCGGCATGTTTTTTTCTTTTTTTAATACAGAACAATTTCCACCATTTTAAAGACATGTTTCCTGTCCTTGTGTGGTTATGTGCAAGAAGTTGTAAGGTCTGGGGACGAATTTCTTTTGGGGAATGATAGTTTGTGGAAAGTGTCTTTTCCTGTATCCCTGTAAGTCCCGTGCTGTGCACTCCTCCATTTTGTCCAATAAAAAATCAGCCGTGTTTGAGACTTCTGTGTTTGTGTCATCCTTTAGAAAACCAATATCAGTTAAATCCACCACTTTTAACCAGGATCGGCTTGTTGTCACCCTCATTTCTTTTTTTCTTTCCTTTGGTAATTCAATTATTTGTATCTAATGTACTGCCCTTCCTCGGCTCTGCCTGATACATCTGGAGAACTTCCTAGATCATGCCATCTTGAGATAAGCCGAATAATTGCAATTTGATTTTTCTTCGTGCATTTGACGGGAGAAAGTCATCATTCATTAAGCCGTCAATTCAGGCTTGGACACTCAAGTGTCAATGACCTCATCCATGAAACGTGCACAGCACTCTACGAAGAGCTGAAGGAGGACTTCATAAGAACTCCAAAGACCGAAGAGGAGTGGCTGGATGTGATCAGTGGTTTCGCCCAGAAATAATTTCCAAACTGTGCCGGTGCACTCGACGGCAAGCACGTCTGCATCTGGAAGCCACCAAACTCTGGATCTGTCTACTTTAATTATAAGAAGACCCACAGTATCATACTCTTCGCTGTGGTAGATGCAAACTGCAAATTCATCTACACCGACGTCGGTGCCCCGGGATCACAAGGAGACGCCGGCATCTGGCAGACTACACCGTTACAACGAGCTCTGGCCAGCAAGAAGATCCATCTGCCAGAGCTGGTGAAGGTAGCAAGCTCACCAGACAAGTTTCTGCCCCCCGTTTTTGTGGGCGATGATGCATTTCCTATTGGAAAAAATCTCATGAAGCCGTTTGGTGGCACAAAGCTCACGGAAGAACAGCGGATATTCAATTACAGGTAAGTTTTGGTGGTATGTCAGATAGAGGTGAATATACGAATCCAAGTTAAAAGTTATTTACTCAATCAAAGCTGTTTCACAGACACTTTGTGCATAAAAACACTTCATGTGTTTTTATACGTGAAAGATTCTAACCGGCCAGTCTACCCATCTCTCTTCCTGGATACGGTGCACAATTTTGAGAATGGCTTTGCAGTATTTCTGCTACAGATCAGGAATCTCAAGAGATGTTTGCAACAGTACTGGGTAGTCTGTTGCAAACAGCTTCCAAAAAAAGAGCACTGGCAGCATCATAAGGACTGGAAATCAAGATTGCTTGGCTTGCATTCAACTTCAAGAAACCTGCAGGTTTTACAGAACAAGAACAACTCGTCTGTAAACTGCTTGCCATCACTTGCCTGATTTTTCTATAGTAAGCCGAGCTGGAAGATATTGGGACAATATATTACCATCATCTATCTGTACCGGCTTACCTCTCAAGCAACCGTCCTCCAAATCAAACGACTCGACTGATTGCAGACTGGCAGGATGCTTTATTCTAGCCAAAATGGCACTTCCCATGAATGTCCATAGCCTGTGACAGGCTAAGAACTCGGCAGATGCTGTGCCTCGAGCACGAGCTGTGTGCCTTTGATAGTATACATCGTCGCACACAGCCCAAACCTGGGGGAAGGCAACGAGCGCATGGTGGAGACAGAACATCTTGTGGGTTTTTACCCTGTTATTGATTATAGGGAGGAGAGGTTTCGACAAAATAGTTGTTGGTACGTGCCGGCAATGTCTGAAAAGTGGCGTTCTTAAGTCATAATTTTACATTTCCATCGCTGGCAGTCTCTTGGTTTCAGCTAGAATAGAAAAGTCTGCTGCCTACTGATCTGCTTCTTAGTCTTGATGACTCGCTCGATACTTGCCTGTTCCTTTCCAGGTTGTCCAGAGCTAGACGTGTTGTAGAAAACACATTCGGAATCCTGGCCAACCGTTTCAGGTGTTTGCTGACAGTGATAAATGCCATTCCCGAAAGGGCCACTGCCATCGTCAATGCTGCATGTGTCCTGCACAACTTTCTCAGCAACGACGTGCTGCCCCAACAAGCATCAAGGGCAGATGCAGAGAACGAACGCCGAGGTCGCCCAACGTTTTTCAGCTTCCCAGCATCGCGTGGACGTGCTAGCACATTTGGCGCTGCAGTGAGAGAGGACATGTGTAGTTTTTTCAATGGCAGGGGTGCTGTGTCATGGCAGCGAGAGGCCGCCTACGTTGAGTTAGACAAACACTGCACACGCAGACCGAAGAAAGGAGTGCAGACAAAAAGAAGCAAGTAAACAGTTAACTTCAACTTTTATTCGGTCAGATGTTTTTCTATGACACTGAGTATTTCAGCCTGGCAGCGAACCAACTTTAATGGGTTCATTGGTCGCATGAGTGCTGCAGCAGCCTTCGCAAAATGTGCAGAGGCGTCATCTGCGTCGGAAGGCTGTTGTACAGCAACTGCTATTTTTTCAAGGGCAGCTGTTCTCGCAGCCCAATCGTTAGCCGAGGGCTGCGAGCTTCGAGCTTTCCTTGACACGCTACTACTGCTGGCCGTACTCACAGAGGCAGGGGACGGCTGTGGCGCATACTCGATGTTGGCGTCCGGGTCGGCATCCTGGTCCGCACTTTGCTCAGCGTTTTGCTGTAATTAAAAGTTGCATGCAAATTAATTTTATCTATGCACAGAGCGAGTTATGCCAGCCTTCGTGGGCTTCAAGAAGGTTGACCTGCCCTGTCCTGCAAAGAAGGAAACAAACTCCAGTAATATCAAAATCATTTAATTTACAAGATGTTCAAGAACTGACTGTATTTTTATGTTAGAGCAGGTGTTTTATATTGTCTTCATATGAGGGTACGGTACCTCATGACAGTTGAAATGCACTCCATGTGCCCAATATACTTGAGCAAAGTATTCGGTGTTCCTGCTTGCATCCCTAGCTTTATGTACTCGTCTCATGAATAAACATGTGCCACTGTAATTCACACTGACAGTATGTAAAGTGCTTATGCGTGCACAGAGTGTGTGCACAGAATGGCTAAAAAATTCATAAACGCTCGTAAATTTAGAAAAAATGATACAAAGCTGGCATTTGTACTGCAATGGCTGAATTTCTCATTTACAGTGGAGATAAAGGACAGCGCTTGGCGCAGTCCAACTTCCCGCTGTCAAAACTTGCACGCAAAAAATTACTCGATTGATGCTGCACGTCTTGCCTTAATGTTTCAGTTGTCACTGTAGTGGCGTAACCGTAACAAGTCTATTGTGCAAATTAAGAAAAGCAGGAAGAGATCATGCTCCTCTTTCCACTTCAGCGAGTGAACACGGGACAGAAGGTGGGTCGCTCCTTGCCTCCTCTCCAGCTTTCTCTTGCTAAAGTGAAAAGAGTGGGAGGAGCTTGTTCAGCTTTTCTTAGCATGCAAAAGGGGATAGTCGCTCAAAACAAGAATCTACACGACAGATAGCAGTGTATCGCAATGACTTCTGGAATGGCATATATAAGGCAGCTACAAAATTTACCGCCTCTGGCTCTGCCACCTCAAAGGCCTCGCTGAAGGTCCTTGTCCCTGTCGGCTTGGCAGCATCTAGGAAGTTCAGACAATGGAAGAACTTCCATTTGCCCTTGTAGGAATCGCTGGAAGCTTGGCCGCTTTTCGATGACTCCAGTTTTTTTTTTTTCTCTGCACGGTAGGTCCTCCTTTTGTTATTGAAGAATGTCTTCAGCGTATCTGTAACACAAAACATATTTTAATCTTCAAGGGCTGCGGGTAATGCAGGGCACAATCAGTGTGTAAGCATTTTTTTCCCTGCACTTTCAGGTAAACAAGCTTTGCAGGGTTCAATACCATTGAACACCAATGTATGCAGCAGTAGCGATCCCCCACCGTAAAAAAAAAAAGAGAAAAAAAAAACTTCAAATCTAGATACAACACGCGTCACACTGCGCGATCTCCGCAATAAGAGTTCATCGGTCGGCTTGGTAAGAATAGCTTTCTGTTCGCAGTCTAGCAGAGAGAACAATGAAAGGTGTGCTTCCGTCCGGGAGCCCCTATTTTAAAGCAACCGAGCCATCTCGAAGCAAGAGATCGAGTCTCCCTACGGGCGACCCGCCACACTGCACGCACAGTAATGGGAAACGCGGCGAACAGTTTAAAGAAATAGGTGTACTGGGTGGCGTGAGTACTGCCCAAATGTTTTCTGCATGCTCGGACGGAATAAGAAATGGAGTACATCATAGTCATAATACGTACCGGGGACGTACGGGCCGCATTCAGGGTAGCGGTCCTCCATCTCGTCGGCGATTTGTCGCCACAACGCGCCTTTCAAAGCGTTGTTGGCGTACTCGCTCATCGTCATGTCCCAAAGCGCTGGGAAATGCTCCACAAGCGAAATGAAAAACATGCTTGCTTCATCGCTTAATTTTGAGCCGTACGAAGGGCCAGGGACAGCAAAATCGGAGTACGGTTCGCCAGCCATCTTTCCCGCGCAAACCAGGAAAGTTTCACTGTTGCCAAACTAACTATGTTTTTCAAGCCAAAGCATTCGATATCCTCCGTCAAAAATCCGCGAGTGAAAAAGGCGCTTGACTTTATCACTCCGCGCCTCCGCGGAGGAGGCGCGGATCGCGGGAATCGGTGACGTGCCAGTCACGTGGTACACGGTCCGCGGACGAAAATCGGGATTCGGTCCGTCGTGTGAATCGGCTATTAAGGGTATCCACACGAAGGAGAAATCCGCCACTTTCTTCCGCGGATCGCGCATCATGTGATTAAAAGGGGTATCCACACGAAGGAGAAATCCGCCACTTTCCTCCGCGGATCGCGCATCACGTGAGACATACGTCATCCCTTTTTGACGCCTCGCGGCGCGTTCTCCTCCGTGGCGGAGGCGCGGAGGCTTTGTGCTGACAGCACGAAAGCTCCGCAAGTGCACGCGGCGGAGCCGGGGACGGAGTTTCCCGGGATGTTGACGTCACGACATCCGTCCGCGGAGTTCTCCTTCGTGTGGATACGCCTTTATGGGGGTCACTTTCGAGTGCAGACTGGAACCCCGGTTTATCGCGCTCTAAGCCCCTCTACCTAGTTGGCCCTGGCCAGCATTGGGCGCGTTAAGTTAACGCGCTCGAGCGCGCTCCAGCGGTAAGAGTGCACTCGAGCTAAACTAGACAACATCGTCTCACTTCCGGTGCACGGTGGCGGAGCGCGCTCCGCGAGCTCCGTCGTCGGAGATCAAGTCGGAGATGGTGCGCGAGAGTTCGAACAGGTCGGTTTCCGGTGAGATGACGGCGTTTCCGCTCTCGCGGCCAGTCCAGTGTTGCCAACCGTAGGGTAATTACCCTACTTGTAGGGTATTTTAGGCATTTATGGTATATTGTAGGGCTGTAGGGCCGTCCGGCCATTTCTCCGCCAAAAGTAGGGTATTTTCAGACGTTGCTTCTTCAACGGCGAGCATAACAAAAAAAGAAAAAAAAGTTGCCCCGAAAGTTGTGCATAGCTTTACAACCCGTGTGCTGCCACACCACAACATCATGCAAAACGAAAGAATCCAAGTTGCAAGACGTGCTAACCGAGAGCACCACACACCAAGTTGGAGTATGTAGGCTCCCTAAGTAGGAGAGTATTGAAGAGCTGGAGCAAGTGGGAGAGGTGGGAGGAGGTGGAGTTGCGCTTAGGAAGTTTGGAACCAGAAGAGGTATCTTCCCAGCGGAAATGGTCCCGCCAATTTTTTTCTGATGACTGGTCCATCCGGCGGTCCTTGTTACACCTGCGAAACACGTGGCGCCGCAGGCGGAACCATCCCGAGCCCACCAGGGCGGGTTCATATCTCTTGAGCGAATCGACGTTGTAGCGAATAACGGGGGCCGCGCTGCGCTTACGCCGTTTCGCGGCGACAGTCTGCGGCGGCTCATTACAAAAATGGGAACCCATTTGGCCCACCCGAAAACGCCGCCTCGCGGCGTCCGACTATTCGTGGGTGTTCGCTAAAACGCCATTTGAATAAGTGAGTGCATCCCCGTTTCATCGAATGACATTTTAGCGAATACGGAGGAGCCGCCGTTTTCATATCCTCCCCTGGTGTAAAAGCCTAGTTTGTCGAAGTAGTACCTTAGTTTGACGAATCCCTAGGCGGTACACTTAAAGAAGCTAATATACCGTTCGGATTAGCTTCCTTTTGTAATGAGCCGCCTTGTCTGACGCCGCGAGTGCTGGTTCCGCGTAGCCCAGTTTTTAATTTCACGACAAATCGACTAAACATGTTGGTTGGGAATGTCTGTGCGCTCGCTACATCACTGCTGTGCTGATGCTACACAGCGCACATGCAAGATGCAAGCATGGCGTTCTGGAATAACGCAGGTATGTGCGTGCATGCATGCCCTGTCGCTTTGTACTGTATTAAGATTACCCTGTATCATCATAATCCATGCAAAAGTATTATTTGAACAAAGATTTGCCTCGTAGGGTAAAACGTAGGGTAATAAGAAACATTCGTAGGGTAATGTAGGGTTTTCTGGACGCTGCCGGGGGGTATTTTCGAAAAATAGGTTGGCAACACTGGGCCAGTCTCGAGGTTACTCGCGGTGGTTTTACACCGTGGTCTCGCACGAGATGGAAGAAACATCAAAACCCAAGCGTTTCGGGCTCCGGGCCGGGCTGCCGGGCCACTTTGGACCAGAGGCGTCGGATGTGCGCAATCCCTGGCGAGCGAGTTCGCTTCCGAACGCTTCGAGGATGCCACCGCGCTCGCCTCGCCAAACCTCGCCGACCGCGACCGCACCAACCGAACCCCGCGGCCTAAAGGCTCCGGCCTAGCCAGGAACGGCACCCAGGTAGGCCGGTGGTGGGTAGGAGCTGCTCGTCCTGCGCTACCATGCCGTGCTCGGAGCTTTCGGCGTCGTTCGTGCTTTCGCCGAAGCCTTTACGAACTCCCTCGGACGCGCAAGTCGCGCCTGCTTGGATGCGTGGCTACTTCGACGGCGATCGCTGGGCAGCTCGTGCAATCGTTCCGTCCATTGTGGAAAATAAAAAAAATAAAAAAGTATGGTGATGGAGTAGAAAGGTATGCATACATCCTTCAAATGCTTGTCGAGGTTCTTCATGTACCTTGCCGCAATTTCAGGATCAGGCGAGCCAATGAATTCGGACATTCAGCCGTCATTCTTTAAGGCTTTTGGGAATTCAAAAGGCGTTCGGCGTACCTTTAATCGCCGCTCCAACAGCGTGCAGCACAAATAGAATCTCTTGCTGTTGCTGCCGTCTCCGCGCACTTATTTCATCGAAGTCGTCGTCGAACAAACACTTCTTCGACGTTTCGACGAGCCGGAACCGGAAACGTTAAAAAAAATTGGCGTCAGATGGCGCCTCGGTACCAAAGTGCGCCGTTAAAGGGGCCCTGCAATCATATTTAAGCGTCTACCTTTTTTGCGGTTTCCCCGTCTCTTGGGGTTCGGGCAAGCCAGCGGGCACGGAGAGAGTAACTAAATATCAGTGCGTCATATTTTAACCTGACGACGCGGAAACCTCCTCCACCGACGAGGGCGACCCGCGGTACCGAAAGCGCGCAAAATGTGACGTCTTTGGTCCTGGGCTTACTACTGGTCAGAGCCGCTAAAAGCCTCTTTATAGTCGAAATACAAAATGTAAGTGGCGCGAACCGTTTCAATTATTTATAGAAGTAGTTTTTGTTTAGTATTTTAGATCAAAAAAGAAACGAATGAAGTTCATAAAGTACGGAAACAAGAAATGACCCTTCGACATACCCGCCACCATGCGGTGGAAAAAGCGGCGCATACTAGAAAGGAATAGTGGGATTAGGTGCCGACACGGAAAGGTCCCGGATGTACGCGGCAGCGCTGCGGTCGTATGCCGGCTCGAGGATCCGACCGGTTCCGAGCGTTCCCAAGGCTCTCGGCGCGGGCTTGGCTGGCGATTTAGCCCATTGGCGGTATGGCAGAGCGAAGTGGCTCCCGGTCTGAACTGATCTTTACCCCGTGTTTGCTGTCGTTTGTGGCCAATGAAGTGTCATGCCGAATTAGTATTTAATCGCGCAGCAAATGCAATGAGAGCCGCTCTGGCTGCCCGCTGCATACAGCCTATCCAGAACACGCTTCAATGGCGCCCTCTCGCGCCGTCGACTCGAAGTGCGGCATTCGTGAGCGCTCGATGAGCTCACTACTTCTCCTCTAGTTCACGGCCACTCTCAAGCAACCAAGGACGTCATGAGGGAGGTTATTTTTTGCTTGTTTTTGTAATTTTAATTTGCCTATAACTTTTAAAATAGAGGGAATTTCGAGAAAAGAAAAGTTTCACTAAGTTACTACGTTCAGTGCGCTCAGGTTCGGTGCAAATTAAAAATTAGTAAAAAAGTCATTGCAGGGCCCCTTTAAGCTACGCTCCGAACCCGCGCGCTCGAGCGCAGATGTCCAGAGTCTGGAGCTCACTAACTTAACGCGCCCATTAGT